ATTTATTGGAATGACGAAAGAGAGAAACCGATAGACGTTTATGGGCCATGTTGTCTTGAAGTTGCTAACCACTTTACAGTCTATTATTAAAATACTACCTATGTAGGTATCTAACATCAATTCTTACAAAACAAAAGAATAAATTTTCTGCACTAGATGGCGTAACAATTAAGAACATAACATCCGAAAATTCAGCTCCTCCGCGTTTCAAGATATGCATTAAACTAATACTCATAAATCAAGAAAGTTAAATAATTCCAAAACTGCAATTAAATTTTAACTGCAATTGGCAATTAACCGCAAGAAAGAATTCAAAATAATTTCTTTACCAACGCTGATCATAACCGAGCATTCATCATGGATGTGATGTCCAGTATATATCTAATTATTTAACTCTATGGGTGTATAATTTACTTAAATATAAAGGTTACTTCCTTGTTTACAAACAGTTTATATTGTTGATGAATTCTTGAGAAAGTCTTTTGAATCTTCCTTTACCTTTATTTTATAGCCGAAACTGCTAATTACCGATTTGGGTCAAAACAGTTAACTACTACTGCTGCTACATTGAAGTTGAAATGATGACACTGCTTCCAAGGTCAATTGGTTTCATTCAAGGTCACATTGTTAGCTAGGTCGTTAAGCAGAGAGCAACGATCTCTCGATTTCCCCATTGGCATGTGAAAACTCCTCAATCATCTCTTAAAGTTTGCTTTGAAATTTATAGTTCTCATGATGTATCGATAAAATTAATCTTGTTCTTAAATATTCCTCCGGCTTCAGCGATGCGACTGTATGTGTGTTCCCTTTCAGTTCCACGTAATAACAGTTGATTTATAAACTGTCATTTTCTTTTGGAGTTCTTTGTGACAAACGTGCTGTTTACTTTGAATTGAAGAAGGCAGTACGACTATATTCAAAAATTAGGAAGCGCCTTATATCTTATTTTGAACAAATTATGATACTAAATAAGGAAGTATCGTCTTATTACTCCATATTGTTTTTGTTACTCTCACATTTACCTTTTTCAGAGTTATCACACATTTTATAAATCTCAATTAAACACTTATTTGGGTCAAGTAGTTGTTCATTCGAAACCACTTCTGTATTGTTGATGGAACGAAACAAAGCGAACTCCGGCTATTAGCTGAATATTTGTAAAGTCAAGCAAATTATACTTGAAAATATTACTGATGATTAAACTGAGGGTTTCGGTAGGTAAATTCTTGTGAGCAAAAGATGGGCTGATGTTACATTTATTAAGCTCTCAAAATTTCGCTAACATTTTTGGTTTCATCAGGAAATCACTATGAATACATAAATGAGAATTTGAAAGTTACAATATTTGTTAAATTTACATACATGTTAATTAAATTTTTAAAGGTATAATTAATTTAACTGTAAACTTATGGGAAAATTAAATGTACATATGTAATTAACAATTAAACCATCATGACAATAATTACGTTAAATTTTCAAAACAAAATGGTGGAAAAGTCGGCAAAACAATCATTGATAGATCAACTGGAAGTTTAACCATAAATGGAGTGAACGAGTATAATTTAGGTTGTATTCATAGATTTAGAGTAAGAGCAATGAGTGGACCCATGGGGCGACCTCGTGTGGAAAAACAACGAGGAGAACCATAAGATGGTTGATAACTTATTGTGTAGATATAGCAAATAACAGTATATGGTTATTAATTCTTTATATATACGTCAAAAAAAGACGTTTTTGGATGGTGTGGCAAGTTTGGAGAACAGATATATTCTCGAAGATTGCAATATGACCTGTGGTATGCAAGTGTGATGCAAGTACACTACTATTGGAGCGACTTTCATTTAGATGTTGGTTAAAGTGATTTAGCAGATATTGAGAAGTTTTTCCGATGTAACATTTGTCACAATCCCTACAATCGACTTTGTATATTAGATGACTTAACCTTTCCAGGGGATCTTTGTCTTTTAGTTTTTTAAAAATTTATTTGTTAGTAACCACATTGTAGCAAGTAATGTTCACTTTAATTTCTTTAAAAAGTTTAATAAGTTTATGCGAGAGACCTTCTGGAATTGAATGTTAGAAGTATTTCGTTAATTTTGTCTGATGGAACAGCGCAAATGATGTCTACATATTTGTAGAGAAAAGGTAAATTAAATAAGAGTTTTGGTATACACTTATTAAGTAGGGATGTCATAGCAATACTTAAAGAGTTATATTTTCCACCACCAGCTCAGCAACATGAGATGATGAGTGAGTACCAGACTACTTAAATAGTTTTACAAAATATATAAAACACATTATGAATCCCTGCGAAAGTTGAGGATTTCCCTCGATTTTTCTGGGATCCCATCATCAGATTCAAACTTGGTGTCAGTGGGACCACCTGGGAAGTATACCCTTTTAAACAAAAAAAAAGGATTTCTGGAATCGGTACAGGCGCCTTCGAGTAATCGGGGAACATACATAAAAAAAAGGATTCCGACGAATTGAGGACCTCATTTTATTGAAGCCGGTTAAAAAAAGTTTATTTTATTAATTCTTAATATAATTTGAAGAATTCCTGCGCCGTTTCATAATTATGAATGAACTTTCAAAATCCGCATGACATGCCATAGAAAGACAAATATTAAAAAGTAGCTTGTGAAAATGTTTTTCCCTCAATACTAGCAATGCCTGCATTGTCAAGCGACGTTATGGTTACCTTCTGTTTAAATAATGTTTTCGAATATCTTCCTGTTTTAACAGTTGGTGTTTTGTAAGCCTTTTTAATGAATTTTGTTACCCAAATGAAAACAACAAAAACTCATCAATATGAATATAAAACTTTGCAACTTGCTGTAAATAATGTAGCCGCTCTAAAATTGTATAAATCTACTTTTGAAGTAATATGTAAATAAAGAAAAGTAACGTTTATAAAATGTTGTAAGATCCTTTAACGGTTTTTATTCTTCAACAACCTAAAGCACGAAGTACTTACCAAACAATGACTACACAAACGTCTTTCTTACCTTTTGTGTAGGTATATTCACGAACGATCAACTTGACAACAATTATCATTTGCTACATTCCCTGTTGACCATTTTTGAAAACAGAAGTGTTGACATATCCTCTTAGTTTGCCACTAAATACGAAATTTATTTGCTTAGCTAGAACGATGAAGTGAGTTTGAAGTGGTATCGTGATTTAAATGTATGCTTACCACTTAAGCGTTAAAAAGTATGATTTTATTCAAATGACAGTACGTCGCCATCTGTAGATATTACTGTTAATTGTAGTATTTCGTGGTGTGCAACATAGTCGTTGCAAAGGACATAGGTACTGTGTTTTTGATAAATTGCTGACTGAAAACTTAATTGATCGAAATCGTGCATGACGGAAGAAGTAACAAATTACATAAACAACGTTTAAAATAGCATTATTGTTTGATAGAAATTTTTTATTCAATATGTTGCGAAAATGATGCTTTCGTTTTAATCGTATAACTAATAGAGTTGTTGAGATAATTAAGTTATCTTTTAATGGCTAACTTGCCAATTAGAAGAACAAAATATATTTAAAAATAACTTTACTAAAAGCGAATATACACACAATTAGTGCAACCACTAATACTGATATTATTGACCAACAGGTAAATAACCCGGAAGATCTGGCGAAAGCCATTCTACTAACTGTAGTGTGTTCAGTTTTGACAGGTCGATATCCCTACAGTCCCTAGAAATATAGAGTCTGGTCACTACACACAATATGATTGAAAAATAGTTGCTGCTACATCTATCGTTGCTTGTTCTCCCTTCCTCTCACGACATATAGGCATTTCAGGATGTTGTCAAGTGTCAGTTGTCATAATTAATGATGAAAATATATGTATATGTGATAACCAAAACGAAATAAATATTGTAGTCTGTGAATTTGAATTGCGACGTATTGAAATTCAAATTGTTAATGAAACGCACGTACATAATTCTGTTGTAATTTTACAATTCACCTCTAAAATGTTTATTCATCACAGCTCTAGATATATTGGTAGTCTTAAAAATTGTATGTCGTTTAATAAAAGGCTGCATTAAATGTTTAACAGGGCTGATGGTGAATGTATTATGCAGTTAACCTACAATTCAATTTAAATATGCTTCCAAATGTTCCAAACGCGTCGTTCAAAGCAATCTAATGATTAGTTCTACTATTGTGGAATCAAGTCCATCCAAATTGATCTCATGAGGAACCAAACTCTATATCTCTAGGGGTCCTAGTTATCTTTATTTGGAAAGGACCTTTCCAATGAACGCTGTTTTAAGACAGTAGTAAACTGGTCAGTGCTCTGTGGGAATTGTCAACAGTTTGGCGGTTTGGACAGACCATTCACTAACAACTTATGTACTAACTGTTGGTTCGTGAACGTTGACAAAATTATTTGTTAATGTTAACGGTAACCAGCAAGATCAATGTGATCGGTATTTAAGTAGATTACTGATTTCTTAAAACTAAAAAGTTCGCAGTACTAGATAGATTGTACCTAAACTGTCATCATCACAAGGTTGTCAGTCCTAAGACTGGTTGGACACGCACCTCCACTCTTGAGCTAATCTTCGCATTTTCTTCTACTCGTTTTAACAATACAAATAAAGAAATAGATTCTGTTAAATGTCGTTGACAATTTTGAAGTAATTTTGAGGGGTACAAATAGAAAAGCAATGTCTTGCATCAAAGGCGATAATTAAAAACTGTTTGCTTGATTCCAAGTATGATCACAAAATGCAGATTATTAAAATATAACCTTGAAATATTTTACTTGTAAAAATTATCATAAAATATTATTTTCATGAATGACGAAACATGTGTTACGTCTTGTCTTTGTTATATCAAAAAGTATATGACTACATAGAAAAATATGTACAAAGATGTGAAAAGAAGTTGCGTGGTTTTTTTTTGGCTCAGTGCTCAAACTAAAGAAGCAAAATCTTTATAAGATCATTTCGTTTAATTTACACTTTTGTTTTCAGGTTTACAGTTACCTGGTGGTCGAAGAGCACCGTGCAATAACGAGGGAGAATCCGTTGCAGTTGATGATATTGATAAAAAGGGATGTTTCTCTTGCATTTGTAAGGTACATTCAATTTATATAGCTAACACTATTTTTTATCTTTATCACCTTTTCTTTACACATACAATGTATTAGACGTCTCAGTCACATTAACCTTATAAAATAAAGTTAAAATGTTATGAAAATAAATTGCTGTTACGCACAACAAGAATACCAGAAAATAAATATTTTTAATAAGGTAGGCTAGAAGCAAGGTAGCAACCTACTTGTTGTTTGACTCTTCTTTCTTGGTAAATATACCCGAGGCAGACAATACAGAAGTCGCCAAACCAGTTGAAAGCTCAATAAATAAAATTAATAAATTCTTACAATGCGCAGCGGTGTAGTATTACCCGATTTTAAAACTGGCATGTCAAGAATAAAAACTCGCGAACAACGCTGTAGTTAGTCGTCTTATACTTGATAGAAAATAGTATATATTACAAAAAACGATACTAGCGATACTAACAGTGTATTTGTTCTTTAATCAATGCAAAATATTTATTTATTTCTAATAAAATGAAAATATCAAGGAAGTCAAATAACTCAGGATGGAGCGTAGAGATATAACACAGAGCATAGCGCAAGGTCGAGTCGCCTTTAGCAAAGAGAAGTCACTTCTATGCTCACAAACGGTTAATTTACATATTCAAAAAATATTTTTGCAAGTGTATGTCTGGTACATGACACTGTATGAGTGCGAAACGTGGGCGGTGCACAGTAAAAATAATTTGTCGTTCTAATAAAAAAATATAGTACCAAGAGGTCCACTACAATTTTTTCTAAACTTGACATCCTTGATTTTGGTAAAATTCAACAATTTCGATTTTTCAAGTTTTAACTATAAAAACCACTGTTGGTTTAACGTTTTTTATTTACTTACTACAAACTATAAAGTTTAGTAATTAAGAATATATTGAATGTAAAATGTACATTTATTTATGGTGAACTTTACATGTACGTATTTCTAGTAGCCATGCTAGAGTTTGTATTCATTTAACATTTGAATGTATAAATTTTACATTTACGATGAAGTTAGTTTAATCTTTATTATCACTAGATTAATCATATTAACAGGCTGACTTTAGCATCAAAAATAAGTAAATTTTACAATTATTTTAAGGAGATTAAGTAAAAGTCTTTTGTCAGAAAAATACTTTTATTTTATAAATAATATAGAATAGTACATTGACTTATTGAAAGGATCAAACGTAAAATATAGCTTAGCAAAGTGTTTCAGATGCATAAATACCCCTCATATTAAGGTAACGAGTTCTAACATCCCTTCTCTGAAAGTATACCTACACCTTAGAGTTCTTGAAAGCTGCTTCAGCAGAACATACTCATAAATTCGAAAAACAGGTATTTCATTTTTGAAAAATTATCACTATTTGCTTGAACCTATTCCCTAAGATGAACTGGTGCCGTCAAAAATAGTTCTTAAGTTATAGTAAAAATTTGACGTTCGAATGCTTAAATAACTTTAAGTTTTCATTAGATGTAGTGAGCGTTTCAAAAATATGTGTTAGCAGCGGTTACCTTAATCATACGGGATTTGAAAATTTAATTAATTTACATGCCTATAATTGTCAAATAATAATATACGTGAAAAATCTTCTCCAGAGGTACTTAGGTACTTTAGAGTCCTAAATTAAACGAGTAAACGCAGTAACAGCGCTTCCTTTTTGGCAAGTTTTACTGAAGTTGGTGGTAGTATGTAGATGCTCTAAAATACAAAGGAATTTTGCCATAGAATTCCAATCTAAAAAATAAAAATAAAAATTATTTTAAAAGTAGACTGAGCTTTTCAATACAAACAGACGCCTATATATAAAAAATTATCGTTATTTAAATATACATTAAGTTTGCACTCACCATCACTATCTTCCGACTCTCCGAGTAGTTCCGAATCTAACCGAGATGTTGTCTCATAAATCAAACCCTTTTTAACATAATAAAATATGTATTAAGTATATCTACATAAATAGTTTTGATATTAATTGTTAAGATGTGACTAAGTTAGCTTACTACTACTTACTACTTTTTTTACTAACAAAATTACATCATGAGACCTCTGTTCACATAGCACCAAAATGGATGGATCTGGAATATCCAAAGTATTACATATTTTTGAGGTAATCTCCGTTTAATACGCGAATTTAGTAATTCAAATTTGATCATATATTGAATTGAATAATGGATTGTTTGAATTGTTGTTGATTGCACTGTTGGTTAGACTTGAATTGAATTGGAATTGAATATCGAATACCAATAATTTACCTTTTGGTGACTTAGATAAAGTCGAAACCACCGAAAAATCGTGTACTATTTTGGGGGATTGTCTTCTTTGAAATCAAGGACTAACCATGTAGTCCAAGTCCTTAAATACGTATGTCACCTTATTATAATAACTGTTCTTCAGTGACTGACCTACAGTAATAATTGATGTTCTATTACTGAATTAGTTTATTACACTGCACAATGTTTAAACATTAAAAGAATAAACGACTACTAGAGGTTGGTTGTTAGCATAACCACTCTGAATCACACACAATGTAATCTAACAAATAAAAAATACATGAGCAAAAAATACAAAACGAATACTACACTGATGCTAGTAATCATTAGCTGATTGAGCAGCGTTGCCGACCGTATTGAGTACCTGTACTTTCACAAACATTTAGTTAATTTTAGTGTTTTATAGTGCTACCATCTTTTGCGAGCGCAGCACTTATTTCTGTAAAACATTACGCATGCTACCTCACTGGTTTACTCTTATGAAATAGATGAATAAAGATGCAAGCAATTATAATTAGGAGTTTTTAAGTTATTGTATGTCGGTCAGGTTTTTCGTTGTATTTTAAAGCAGGAAATAGAAATCACCAGGAAATAACAAAATATTAGTTATCGTTTGTTCGCATGCTCCCCACAAACTATAATTATATCACCGGATTTGTTCAAGAACGTCTGTATTTTATTCAAGTTTACGGTTTACTTAGCGAATATCAATCGTTATTGAAGCCAAACGTTATATAATTTAGAATTGTTTCAATGAAAGCGACCAGAGGGGTGAAATGTTATTTATTTAATTTGCAATCTTAAACCGACGCTGCACCTTTTTGGTCGAAGGCTTTATCATAGTAGATTACAAAGTTATTGTATTACATTAGACAGAGACATGGAAAGCCTTTTTTGTACGACCCGAATATTTAACAACAATAATTGAAACATAAACAAAATCACAGACTAAAATTATAAATTAACACGCAATTTAAAATAATAAATTAAATTTAAAATAATAATTATTCATACACCATTGTGGTTGTCATTTTATCCAGTTGTTTTTTAATTACTTCTACTAAAGAAAATACTAAAATAGGAACATCCCACATCCTTAACTATGTGCAAACAGTAATCTAATTTCTAAATAAACTGGTTGCAAGCACAGAAGCGACTTATTGAAGACGACTCGATCTTGTTTCATATTTCTACTACTTCTTCCTGAATTATCTGACTTCCTAAATACCGAAACTCAGCTACTTCTTTTTTTTTTCGTCTCCTATCTTTATATTCGCTCTCTCTGCACTTTTTCTTCCCTTGCATACCAATAATTTTGTTTACTTTTATTTATTTTCATATAATATTGTTTTGTTAATATCGCCTGCATTTTATTTAAAGTTATCCCTAACTCCTCCTTGCTAGATGCTAATATTGGTATATCATCTACAAATCTAAGCATACTAACCTTTTGCCCCTATATATCTATCCCCTGAGTTATACTGCTTTTAATAATGTGACTGTATCTTCAATATCTATATAGATTAAAAAGTAGCGGTGACAGTGTGCATCCTTGTCTGACTACCGTCCTAATATTTCCTTCAATACGTTGCTGCTCCAGCTCTATAACTGCTGGTTGCAAGCTATCACTCTTCTATCCCTCTAACTTATCCCTACATTTTTAAGTATATTTGACATTTTGTCCCTTTTAACATTGGCCAAAGCTTTTATGTTTTTTTTTCCCGACGCATGGGAAGTTAAGCTAATTGTTCTAAATATCTCGTACCTATCAGTTCTTCTCTTTTTAGGCATGATTACTACCACGTTCCGTTTATAATCTTCCATCTCGTAAATGTGACTAACCAGCTTAAACATATCTTTTCCTCACTTTCTTCCAAAATGGCCTCTGCCTCGTTTGTTATGTTATTTTACCATACCCTGCTTCTCTAAAATTCCTTTTAATTATATTATAAGCCTCATTGGTTTTACCTACTTCATACTTTTCTTCTAGTTCTTTACACATCCTATCAATCCACTGTTCCTTTGCTGCCCGACACTTAATTATTTCCCACTTTATCGCCTTATATATTTTTTGCCCGTCTTCGTTTGTCCTGTTTTTGTATTTTCGCCTTTCTTCTATTAATCCTATAATCTCAGTTGTTATCCAGGGTTTCCTACTTTCGTCTTGTTTAAGACCTAGTATATCTGTAACTGCTAACTTTAGGCACGTTTTAATGCAGTTCCATTCTGTCTCTATGACCCTTTCATTCGTTTCTTCCGCCGCCTTTAGTATTTCGTCTGTACTTGTACCTAGCCGATCACGCGTTTCGTTAAATTTTAGCTTTTCTAAGTCAAGACGTCTCCTACCTTCCCTCTTTTTCAGAATGTTCAATTTAAGATTGGTCTTCATAACTACTAAGTTATGACCGCTATCTATATCTGCTCCTGGATAACTCCTACAGTCCTTCACTTGATTTTTAAATCTTTGCCTAACAAGTATGTAATCTAACCGATATCTCCCTAAATAACCTCGCATCTTCCACGTATAATACCTTCTAACGTGATGGTTGAATAAAGTATTCGCCACACTTAAATTATGTTTATCGCAAAATTCAATCAGCCTATCTACCCTATCATTTCTATCGCCTAATCCAAAAGAACCTGCTATTGCACCGTCTTTACCGTCACCTATTACTGCGTTGAAGTCTCCTACAACTGTTCGGTTTTCCTGCCCTTTCATTACTAAA